GCTGCCCTTCAGGTCTGGAACTGAACCCACATCTGTGGTTTCCAGTCAAACAATGTACAGGCATGTGAGTTAAACATTTACCTCAAGTAGACACATGCCCTGGAGAGAACAATTATGGGAGAAGGAAGGGCTGCTTATGCACAGGGAAACAGCTCAGGGTACAGCAGAGTATGGAGGGATGGCCACTGGGAAGAGGTAACTATGGGGAGGAAGTGGGAGGGGAGCTGTTGTTGCATTGTAAATGGTGGTCAATGACATGAGACAAAGTGTATGTGAGCTGCTGTATGAAAGTGAATTCGCTCTGTAAATCTTCACCCAAATCACAATATAAATAAATAAATAAATAAATAAATAAATAAAGCAAAAACAAAACAAACAGGCCCAGCCAAGATGACACATAACCTTAGCTAACACAAAACCACCTTTGCCATTTTGCCCTTTTCATGGTGTATCAGTTACGTGATATTAGTTATAGTAGTCAAATTGTGTGACCATTGCCCTTATTCAACATCAATTTTCCTATCACTATAAACAAAAATTCTCCACTTCCCAGAGAATGCTTCTGTCTTTCCTCGCCTGCTTTTGCCACTGGTAGCCACTATTAGCCAATCATTGGTCTTTGTATATTTACCTATCCTTGTGATTATTTATTTTTTGGCTATAGCCCCACTAGTAATTTGTCATAGTATTTTTAATTTATTGCTATTTTATAGTACAAGAAATAAGAATGAAAGGATTTTTTTTAACATTACTAAAATATAATTAAAATTTTTAAAATTACTTTTGGCAAGTTTTAATAATTAAAAAACAAAAAAATAATTTTAATATTCTAAAAGACCATCTCATTTTAGATGAATCCTTTTTAAGATCGAGATGTTCCTGCATATAACCAGATGCTTAATTCTTCCCTCCTGACAACAGGATACAGAAGGTATGTACTTCACAAACAGGAATTTTATAGTATACTTTGACAGAAATAAAACAAAGAGATAAAAAAGCTGGGACCAGTACTTTTTTTGTTGTTTTGTTGAACAGAGTACCTGGAGCCCTGACCTAGCTTGTGGTGATGCCCTGCTATGAAGGCAATGATCTGACAACATATTATCAGGAAAGGTGCATCAGCTGGCCAGTCTTTGACCCAAAGGTATGCAAGGAGGAGCATCACTGATGGTAATGAATTGTTGTCATTTTTTAAATGCCAGAAAAGCAGATATGCAAGAAGAAAATATAAACCCATAGTTACCTCACCACTGTGTGGTAAGTACGATGAAGTTTTTGATATAGGCTCTTTCAGACTTTTCTTTATGCTTACTTATAAAAACACACTTTTTTTTTTTTTTTTAAATAAAAATGGAATATTTAACCATTTAGATATAAAATATTACCATTTTCTAGTCCTGCTCCATGTTTTATTTCAAAGGTGTTGACTAAACTCAACTATATTAACTATACTCTGAAAAATTTAAGGAGCTCTGGTGGTGTAGTGCCTAAGGCATTTGACTGCTGACCAGGAGGTTGGTGGTTCAAACTCACTAGCCACTCCGTGGAAGGAAGATTGGGCAACCTATTTCTGTAAAGATCTACTGCTTCGGAAACCTAAAGGGGTTTGCTATGTGTTGGAATCAACTTGATGGCAGTGAGTTTGGTTTTTGTATGAAAAATTTTACAAAGTAAGGATAGAGCTGTACCTACTGTTTATATAAAGTCTAGATGAAACAAAAATTTAAGTTGGTCACTGTGATAGTTTAACAGTGAAAATGTTAAATGAAAATATGGTACTTTTTGTTTTGGAGATAGGAAGGCCTTTCTAAGCATTACATGAAATGAAGAAAAAGTAAAGATCGATTAAAAAAAAGTCAGTAAAAACATTGACGATCTGAATAACACTATGAGCTACACTGAGCTAATATTTATATACCATTACACTCAATAACTGTAGAATAATACACCTCCTTCTCATTTATCTATTATCTCATTATCTGACATTTCACATTTACAATAGTTAAAAATCTATCATCTGACTATTCTGCACATTAACTATATATGTCTGGCAGTAATGAATGCTGAGGTCCCTGATGGGGTCCTTGACTGGAGGACCCTGTGTGCACACTGAAAGGAAGTTAAGTTTTGCATAGTACTTTACCATCCAGGAAGAGAAATTGAAAGCAGTCCTCCTGAGCCTTCAGGTGCCAAGTGAAGTGCAGGCTAGAGTAGGGTCACTGGGGACAAGACACTTCCTGGTGGGTTCTGGGTGCCCACAAAGGGCTGACACGGGGCGTTAGCAGCTGTGTCCTGAAGGGAGGCTGTCCTCAGGGCCAGGGAAGAATCAGGACCCTCGTGTTTGGCCCCAGCTCCCAACCCCAAGGAGTGGCAGGGCCAGGAGTATTATGAACATTATACTAATAAATTTGACAATTTATGTGAAAAGGAAAATTCCTGTATAACTTACCCAAACTGACACATATGAAATAGAAAGTCTGCAGAATGCTGTAACTATTGAAGATTTTGAATTCACTATCAGAAAACGCTAAGCCAGAATGGTTTCACTGATGAATTCCATCAAACATTTGAGGAAGTAATGATACCAATATTACACAAGCTCTTTCAGGAAACAGCAGAGGAGGAAACATTTCCCAAATCATTGATATGGTCTCCATAATTATGAAACCAAAACCTGACAAAAACTTACAAGAAAAGTATGGATCAACTTTCCTTGTGAACACATAAGCAAATATTCCTAATAAACATTAACAAGTTGAATCTAGAAATTTATAAAAAAGATAATCTGACCAAGTAGGGTTTATCACAGATTACAAAACTGGTTTAACATGTGACATTCAACCAATGTGATTCATATTAATGGAATGACGGAGGAAAAATCAATATGCTCATTTTAGTAGATGCAATGCTAATTTTGCATAGATGATACTCACTTTAAGTTTTCTAATTCCTGTTTTCTCAATGGAGAAGAAGGTGGAGCTGGAATAAACTTATCTCCATCATGGCTTTTACTGCTGAAATAAATATAGACTCTTAATCAAGAAGAGAAACAAATAAGCAATTAAATGTAAATTTTTATTTCCCTATCCCCACTCAAGTACAATTTTTTTCTGACAAAAGTGTGTAAGAATCAAAATAATGAAAAGTGCCCAGTGACTCAGTATCACTAACATGTTAAAGTCATCCTGTATGTTTGCTTCTTTTACCCAGTGTGCAAAACTGCTTTTAAAAATTTCTAACTAAAAACAATTTCTCTATTACCTGAAGGAAACGACCCCATATTTCCACACATTTCTCTTTCTTATTTTATTATTTACAGTAAATCATTAACTTCCTGGTGGGGGAAAAAGATCATAATTTTGTTGCAAATTTTCTATAATAAACATATTATTTCTGTTGTAATAAAGAAAAAAATACTGGTATTAAAGACACATTTTTAAAGGTGCCATGTGTAAAAAGCAAAACTTCTTACATATAATAGTATTTGTTGATACTCCTAGACAAACTCTCCAAATCTCAGTATGGGAAACATACAGATGTCCTCTGAAGGTTAGTGGTATACAGTATTTTAAGAGAGGTAAAGAATAATAAGAAATGAGAAGTTCCAGGACTTAAGTATTTATTTTAATTAAAAAATTGCCTTCTCTGATAGCAATAGGAAAAATCAGCTGCGAGTGAATAAATTCCAGCTCATGCTGACACCATGGGTGTCAGAGTAGAACTGTGCCCCATAGGGTTTTCAATGACTGATTTTCAGAGACAGATTACCAGGCCTTTCTTCCAAGGTACCTTCGAATGGACTTGAACTTCCAACCAAACCTGCCAGGGACTTCAATAACAACAAGAATCCTTACAAACACTACTCCTGACAATGAAAAGCTGTTACTTTTGACATTTCTCTTTCAAGGTTTTCTCCTCACTTAGGTTTGCTAGTCAGTTCCTGAGAGGATTCTGCCAAGGGAGGTAAAGGGATTAGAATACCTGCAAGTTTCACTGCTTTCACTGCTTTCCGTGTTCCCACCTAATTGATTACTATTTTTAGACCCATTTTCCTGCTTCGGATCTTGTTGTTCTTCGGGTAATAGCAACAAGGCATTTCTGAGACAAATGGCTGCAAACTCCATACTGGCTACAGGAATGGCTGACGACTGGCCATCACTTAAAAGAATAAAACCAATATAATTGTAAGTGAAAACTTCTCTCTGATGAGTAAAAATTTTAATACAAGTAGTTACAAGAGAATGCTAAAGAACTCAAATCTTGAATACAACATACAGGATATGAAAGGTATCAATAATGGTTTGCAAATACATACATTATATATATTGTGTCTCTAGCAATGGAATGAAGGATGGGAGACATCTTGAAGTATATCTACAATGTCATTGTTAATGTTAAAAGTAACTGTAGACAGGGAAAACTGTAATGTGGGCCAGGACAGGTACGGTGAGAATGGGAAGGAGGGGGAGAAAATAGATTTTCACGTTTCAGTCTTATTTTGGTCAATTCTTGCTTTCAAGAAGTACCTTTCTAAGTTTTGAGACAGCAGAATTATCTTTTATATTATTATGACATTGACATTTTATATTATTTTCTACTGGTTCAATATACCAAACTAAACCAGCTTTATTAGGAAAAAAATGTTTTTGGATAAGTAATAATAACTTTGAAACTGTAGGACAATGATGTCTTATTATAATAGTCTTTTTAAAAATACCTATATAATAGTTAAGCTAAATTAAGATGTGTGTGTCAGATACTATCTAAACTTTGGAAAAAATTTAAATGGCAATGAGGAATTTTCTTTCCTGAGAAAGAAAAAAAAAAGGCAACAAATTCTTTGCAGTCTCTTACTTGAGAAAAATAGCAACTCAGATTGTAATCTTTATAATTATGTTCATGTTTAAGTTGTTCAGCTGAAGATTCTACATGTGGCAACGTCTATATTATTTTGGTTGCTGTATATATTAGTACACCCCCCCAATACTAGAAATCAGCTTTTAACATATTTTCATTTCTAGGGACTATGAAACAGCATCTAAATGAAAAGCACTAATGATAACTAAAATACATAAAAAAAGAAACACCAAGATGCCCTCTTCTGGACATTTTGAATAAATCACCAAATAGTTTAAATCAGGTTACTTAAGCCACCAACAATTTCAGTGCCCCTGCATGTAACAAACCAAAACTACATGCCAGATGACATTTACTATGGACCTATGTGTGGGGGTGTAGTAGTTGAAGTAGCAACAAAACCTAGTTACACAGTAGTTCCTCCTATGAAATGACATATCCCAAGCATACTTTAAGAAACATTGTATGAAACAGTATTAAACACATACACAATTTCTCTTTGCACAATACTTACTTATATACAGTATTCTGTATGGACTGTGATGCCAGAACTATTTTACGATGATAGCCTTGACCAACAATAGACTGTACAATTCCTTTTTTGCTTGGAAGACCTTTAGTTTCTTGTTCAGAAGTCTATAAATTACAAATAATTTCCAATAAACTTAAGGGAACTGCAAGATGGAGTCTGAAAAATGAAGACTTTTCACAATTGTTCTAAACGTAAGAAAGTTTTTAAGATCCATCAACATGGAGTTTTTGGTGACAAGTAAATAAATATGTTTGGTATCAGAGGAAAGAGTACATGAGGTTGAAAGTATGTTATATTTTATTATAATGAGATTTGAGGTCATTCTAAGGAAAAAAGCAATTAAAAAATGACTCAAACATTCATTTAGAACATTCTACATCCCAGGCCCCATCTGTCCCTTACAGGTACTTTGACATCAGGGTAAGGAAAACAAGAGAGCCGTAAACACACAGTGCAAAGGAAATGGGAAGTAGCTCCACTCTCTAAAACATAAACTGTTTCCTTCTTAATTGAAAGTATTAATTAAATTGTTAACAATATATAAACTCTGACAAACTATGTATGTTAAGAACTACATGGATACAACTTACCATCTAGGAAATTAAAACCCTATAATTATTAAACTGAAAATAGCAGAAGCTTCACACACACACACACACACACACACACACTCTTACGTACATGCAGTATTTCACTAAGATATCTCATTACAGGACCTTGATGATGCCAAATTCATTTGTTTTCTGCTTTTACTCTAAGTCTCTGATTCATCTACTGGTGGAAAGAATCCCAACTAGGCATCTTATAAAGACATTCAGACTCTCGTATACAGGAACAAGCCAGAGACAGTCTAGACCTGCAGAACTGAACTCTACCCTAAAGAAGCCAGTCTTTCCCTAGATACAAATGTCTCTGTACTGTTACTGATTGCCCAATAATGTAACCTTATTATTGTTGCACTTCTATATATGAATTTTAATAAAATAAGGACTCACTAGTGTATTTCTTTAAAAAAAACCTATAATACATAATGGTTGAAAATACAATAAAACTGCTCTGATGAGAACTAACTTGGGGTTGAGGAGGCAGCCAAACAGTATTAATGAAAAGTAGGAAGTGGACACTCTGATTCATTATTGAAAGAAGTTCCATCCTGAGTTCTTTTCCTAGTAGTGGTGCTGAATTTCTAATGGTTCAACCCAGGCTTTCTTTCCTGATCCCTAAGCTCATGCAAACTGATCCAGATGGCTGTTTCTACAGATACAACAGAGGAAAACAAACCGACTCCTACGGGACAGAACTAAAAAAAAACCCACAATAAACATTCCTTCAATAACACACTTACAGCCAGAAAGTGTGCCAGATCGGTTTAGTGTAAAAGGATCATAGGATTCATTATTTTACAGCCACTTGGTGGTAGCAGCACTCAACAAATCTGAAGCTTTTCATAAAAGTAAATGGCACATTTTATGTACTTTTTCTTAAATTGGTTAAATACCATCCCTAAATTTGGGCCCATGTTTTTTTTTGTCCAGTGGACCTTTCCTCACAGGTTATATACCACCCAGGTAAGCATAAGTTTTGCCTTTGCCAAAAGAAGTCTGAAACAACACGTATCACGTACACAGGGCAACAGGACAAAATGACTACCAGGTATCCATTGAATTGTGGCCCTTCACCCCCCAAAATTTGTATAATAAACCCTAACCCCTATACTTATTGGGATGTGATCCCATTTGGGAAGAGGAGTTTCTTTGTTGTGTGGATGAGGCCATACTAGTGAAGGGTGCGTTTTAAACCAATCACCTAAGAGAAGATATAAAGTGAGCAGATTAGGCACAGACAAGCAAATAGAGATGGGGAAAGACGGATGCCACACTATATGAAGATCACCAAGGAACCAAGGAACAGAAGGTGAAAAGAGAAAAGAACATTCTCCCAAAGCTGACACAGAGAGATAGCCTTCCCCTAGAATCTGTGCCCTGAATTCATACTTCTTTCCTCCTCAACTGTAAGATAAATTTCTGTGTGTTGAAGACACCTACTTATGGTATTTCTGGTTCAGCAGCAGTAGCCACCTAAGATACCTCCTTAGTATCACCAGAGTAACAATTCAGTTGGTTATTTTTATTCAAGAGGGATTTATTTCTGATGGTTACAAACAGCTTTGTCCAGTATGCCTCTGGTCCGGACTACATTAGAAAAAAAAGAAAAATATTATTTGAAGTTTACAATTTCTCTTACTGGGATTTTGCTCTTTATTTTTATTTGAGAGAGTAGAGAAAAACTGGGGAGAAAGCTTTGTAAATCCAATAAAACCCAGAATACAATCCTAAAAGTAACATTTGTAAAAATAAATAATTTTAAAAGAATGTATTAAGCCTCACTATATATTCCTCACATTACTTAAAACACTTGGCAGCTAACTGAAAGGTTGGTGGTTCACACCCACCAGCTGCTCTGCAGGAAAAAGATAAGCCAGTCTGCTTCCATAAAGATTTACAACCCTAGAAATCCTACTGGGGTGGCTCTACTCTGTCCTATAGGGTCACTATGATTTGGAATTAACTCGATGGCAGTGGGTTAGGGTCTCCCTCCCCCACATTTCTCTATCCTAAGAAAAACTCTCTGGTTTCTAATAACTACATAAAATAAAGGCTGTCAATACTTAAATTCATGGATGGATTTAAAGAGATTAAGTAATTTCTAGCGTTACTTTTGGTAAGTACAATTCTGCCTAGAATTGCTGATTAGCAGTTAATTTAAAAATTAATCAATAACAAATTTGTCTTTAAGAAAAGCAAACTACAATTAGGTAAATCATTAAAGACTTTCAAAGACGTCATTCATCTCCTTCCCCCAGTGGTGTACTCACTGAAAACTGCTAGGCAGCTGCACTTCTTTAATCCCCTTAGTGTTTGTACAGTGAAAGCAGTGAGAACTGGAACTCAACGGGACTGCCTTGTTCTACTGGATCTCGAAAGCTTCCCACCTTTGACAGGGTAAGTCTTACCACTTTTCTATCACTATTAATGGAAAATACTGTAAAGCCTGTGAAAGTCTGAATCTGTGTAAGGTGGAAACCTGTCAGAGAAGGAAAACTCAAAACATTTCCCACTAATAGAGGGAGACAGAAAATTGGTAAGACTGTACTCTGTCAAAGGTAAACAACTTGTAAGACTCAGAAAAACAAGGCAGCTTTGGCGAGTTCCAGGTCTCAGAGGTTTCACTGTGTTTGTGTTTTCCTTCTCTGATGGGTTTCTGTCTCTCACAGGATCTGGTTTTTGCAGGTTGTACTGTGCCTGCTTCTCTGGAAGTGCTGTTTAGCAGCAGGAAGAGCATCTCAGCACTTCATATCACCTGCAGCAGGCATGCCAGGCAAAACCTCAGGATAATATGACTCTCCAATCCTCACACACCAAAGAGTACAACAAAGGGTGGTTGGTAGGAAATGGGGTGATAGGGACATCTGGTAATTCTGATACAACCTGTCTTTTCTATCCCTTCCACTGACCTCTCCACTTGAGAATCAAAAGGCATCCACCAACTGCCATTTGGAGATAATCTAGGCATGGATACCCACGTAAGCAGGCCTGTTTCTCACAGCCACTGTAAATAGACATGTGCTGAGAAACAGCCTGCTGTTGTTGTTGTTATGTGCCGTCGAGTCAAACCTGACTCATAGTGACCCCTCCTTGGGTTTCCGAGGCAGTATCATTACGGAAGTAGGATTGCCCAACCTTCCTTCCGAGGAGTGGCTGGTGGATTTGAACCGCCAGCCATCTGGTTAGCAGGCAAGTGTCTTAGCCACTATGCTACCAGAGCTCCCCTTGAGAAACAGCCTAGCAACCTATAAATTCTCAATCAGTTACTGAAGCAAAAGTAAAAGCCCTAGGCTAGGAGAAAATGCAGTTTATGCTGTTCTTTGCACACTCACCATGCTACCGCCAGTCCTTCTCTAATGGCTGGGTGCATACACCATTCTCACACGAGCAGAAGGCATGGCCCTGGCCCCAGTACCATTGCTCTCAAAGATCAGACCCTCTCATTGGCTCAATTCTTTAATGTAACTGCTGCTACACAGCTGCTGTGCTTACCAAGAACCTGAATGTTAACAAATAACTTTATGAAGCTAATTTTTTTTGTCCAAATGTTAAAGAGCAGAAGACTATCTTCAGAAATCCACAAAGGATTAAAAAGGGAATGACTTTTGGGTATTTTTTACTTTCCATGTAACAAGTGGGGAGTGGTGGGGGTTCAAAAAGACATTCAAGTGGCACTTACCCCCTTATTGGCAGCAATACAGCATTCAGCTAGTCGTAGCCAGAGGCGAGGATTTGCGTGATAAACCTGAACGGCTTCAATTAGACACTCGAAGGCAGCGAGAGGCCTTCCAATGTGAAGAAGTTGAATTCCACAGTTGTATAGTAACTCATACCTCTTGTTGGTTAGTAATGTACACATAGGTCTTCCTGAAAATTTTTTGCCTAGTGATAAAAATTATATGAGACCTAAGATTTAAAGTACGTTACAATGAAAACATTTATTCCACTAAGTACTTAGAGGCTACCTTGTCTACTACCAGTAACTCTGATTTAAAACTGTAACAGTTCTCACCCATGGTCTCTATCCCTAACTTCACAAACTATCTCCTGAGTAGAGCTGTCTATGCTGGCAGAGCCAGCGTTTCTTCTAATTTGCCAGCTCCTCAGGCAAGAATTCTCCGGAAAGGCAAAGATCAGAGCTGGGACCCACTATTATTCCTAACCCCACTTTTTCCTCATTTTTAGAGGCCCTAGGAAGGTTCCACTTTTTTTTTTTTTAATTTCAGCTTGATAAATGGGACTTTACTATAGAAATAAAAATTAATGTACCATATCTATTATGGCTCACTCACTTATTCAAAAGTTTCACAGTCCTTAGTAAAAGAAGATGTTTGTGATTTTGGATATATTTTCTAACAGTTTAGTACCTTAAATAGCTAAATAATTGTTTGATTTTAAGTACCTCATATCAAGAATCCACATAAAATAAGTATTAAAGGAGTAAACTTTATGAATTTGCTTAAAGATTGCCAGATGCTACCAAGAGTATTATATGTGAAACCCTGAAAAGGAGTTATAATAAAACCTAGTTTGGCACAGTCAAGAAATTTTAGTTTTGCCTAACACCTTGTTACTCAAAGTAGCAACATATACTAAAACTCTCTACAGCTCTACTTGTTGCCTGAGATCAGTGTGAACTGTATGTAGGTACACATAGCTTGCATCCTGGCCAGATGCCTGCTCTTTAAAATCATACTTTCCTCAGGTAGAAAAATACAAACTGTCCCCCAGCACTGCACTTACTTGGATCTGTGCTGCCTGCACTGAGCTGTGCACAGACATTGTCATTTTCCTGCAGAGCTTTTTTAAAGTAGAAAATCCCCAAATTGTGCTTGCTCATGGCAAAATGGATGCAACCAAGATTATTCCAGAACATGCACCTCAAACATTCACCTGAGAAAAACAAACACATTTGTCCACAGAAAAATTTTACCATTAACATATCTCATACAAGAATCAGGCTTAACTTGCATGAGTTAGGTTTATTTACAGTTCCAGTTAGTCACTATATAACAGTTCACAAGACATTTGAAATTTTGGAAACAACTGAAAATTTTGTAAAGTCGTTTCCTTTTAAAATAAGTTTTATCATATATCCAAACATGTAACAAAGCACATAGGGGCACGGTTATGGAGGCTTTCTAGACATATCCAAAAACTTACAGGTTTGGTTTACTGGGTTAAAACACCTAGGACCATAGTCCTGAGGGACAATTTAGTCAATTGGTATAATAGTTCATAAAGATAACACTCTACGTCCTAGTTTGGTGAGTATTGCCTGGGGTCTTAAAAGCTTATGAGCAGCCATCCAAGATAAAACTATTGGTCTTTACTTGTATGGAGCAAAAGAGAATGAAGGAAAACAAAGGCTCAAAGAAGAAACTAGTCCACAGGGCTAAATGTCGACATGAACCATGGCCTCTTCTAACCTGAGACCAGAAGAACTAGATAGTATCCGGTTACCATTACTGACCATTCTGATTAGAGACACAATAGGAGGTCCCAGGTAGAACGGGAGAAAAATGTAGAACAAAATTAAATTTCCTAAAAAGGGAAAGCTAGACCTACTAGACTGAAAGAGAGGGGGTCGTCTATGAACCCCTGAGACTATTGCTCTAGATATCCTTTTAAGCTGGAACTGAAGCTATTGCTGGAGGACATCTTTCAGCCAAATACAGGCAGTCCCCAGGTTATGAACATCCAACTTACACACAACTCCTCATTATGAACCAAATCCCATAAAGCCTATATACTGAAAACTCAAGATACATACACTGGTTCATAGAAACAAACAAGTGCTACCTTGTGACGTGCATCAAAACATTATTATTACTGTATTATGTTAAAAATGTCTTTTTATCTGGTAGTGTTAACGTTTTTTATGTATAGAAAGGTACACTATATGCTATACACTGAGACAAACATTTGACTGACTGATGTTAGATATGAATTGTACCTAACTGAGCTGTTCCAATTTCTGTACAAATTTGATTTAAAGACAGAATTAGCAACACAAATTCACTCATAATGTGGAATGTCTGTTACAGATTGGGTTATTAATAAAAACAGTATCATCAACGAGTAATGAACTCCCTTAAGACCAAACACAGTTTACCAAATCTACATTTACCCAAAAGCAAAGATGAGAAGGTAAGGAGAAACAGGGAAGCTAGATCTATGGAAAAAAAACAAACAGAATGGAAATAATTAGAATGCTGATTCATTGTAAAAATTCTAACCAACGGCATAGAATAATCTGTATAAAAATTATTAAATGAAAACCCAATCTGCTGTATAAACTTTCACCTAAAACACAGTGAAATATTATTTAAAAAGAATAGCAAGCAAAAAAAAATCAGTTTATTAAAAGGGATAAAATTAAATTTTAAAAAGGCTTACATACTGTTTTATTACCCTATCTAATTTAATTTACCCTTTTCTGATTTAATTTTTAATAATTGTAGGCAAGTGATAAAAAAAATGCAAAATATGAAAAATATTTATTAATTAGTAATAAGGGAGCTCCGGTAGCATAGTGCCTAAAGCACTTGACTGCTAACCAGAAGGCTGGCGGTTCAAACCCACCAGCCACTCCACAGAAGGAAGATGGGGAATTCTACTTCTGTAGTGATACTGCCTTGGAAACCCAAAGAGAGGTCGCTATGAGTTGGGTCCGACTCGACGGCACAACAACAACAAGAACAGTAATAAATATGCATGGCATTCACACAATGAAATACTATGTAGAAATTGTAAAGAATGATGCAATTATATATGGAAACAGTTAAAATACATTGAGTGAAGAATAGCAAGAATATATAGAACAAAATAGAGTATATAAAATCCTGCTTTTTTAAGCCCTAAGTTTCCACTATTCTTTTAATTCATATTTCTTTGAATATCACTGTGGATGACCATTTGTTGTTGGGCAGTTGTATATTTCTCATCCTGTAAAATGCCTCTTCCAGCCCTTTACTTTTTTTTCTATTTGTTTACAAATACTCCTCCTCCTTCCCCCATGTCTGTCATCTGTCTCTAACTTGGTTCAATGTATTGCTGTCGTTGTTGTTATGTGCCATCGAGTCGGCCCCGACTCATAGCGACCCCTCCTTGGGTTTCCGAGGCAGTGTCACTACGGAAGCAGGATTGCCCAACCTTCCTTCCAAGGAGTGGCTGGTGGGTTTGAACCGCCAGCCTTCTGGTTAGCAGTCAAGTGCTTTAGCCACTATGCTACCAGAGCT